CTTCCCCTCAGGTGTGACACCTGAGTAGTGTCACTGGCCAAAGAGCCCTGGGCCTGGGATAAGCAGGGGCTCCCCAGTAGCGAAGGGTGACTTTTCGCTGGACCCCAGTAAAGAATCACTTGTAGCCACTCTGCTACTTTTCCCCCCGCCTCAGTCAGATCGAATTAGGATTCTGGCATTTCATAAATCACTGAATCTTATTACATGGGGCTATGCCAGATGCCATCTGCTTGTGGCCTTACCCCCGCTCCAGGGGCACTCAGGGCTTACTTCAGGTCAACAACAGAAAGAGCAGCAGTTACCATTTACATAGCATTTATCATGTGTAAGGCACTATTAATTATTTCGTATCTATCTATTCTTTTAATTCTCACAATAACCCTATGAGGTAGGTACTAATGTTCCACCCTGAGGCAGCTTTGTGATGGCAGAGCTGGGATCCGAACCTTAGCTGCTTGCTTCCCAGAACCTGAGTTTTCGCCACTACACTAGACTACCTCTCCAGAGCTGATGCCTCTCTGAGACCGTCCCTAGGCACTAGAGCCACGAGCAGGGGCTCCCTCTCATGCTTGCCTGCTGTATACACCAGAATGGCCAATATTAAAAAAACTGACAACACCAAGTGCTAACCAAGACATGGAGCTGCTAGAGCTCCCACACACCGCCGGTGAGGATGTAAGTCAATAGAGCCACTTTGGAAAACGGTCTGGCAGTGTCTAGACAAGCTAAACGTATGCCTACTCTATGATCCCACGCCTAAGTCAATGAGTGAACATGTGTACCAAGCAACATGTACAAAATCCTTCATAGCAGTTTTATGATACCCCCAAACCAGGAACAACCCAATTGTCCTCAACAGGACGGCTGGGCCAGGCGTGGTGGCTCACGCTTGTAATCCCAGTACTTTGGGAGGCTGGGGTGGGTGGATCGCTTGATCCCAGGAGTTTGAGACCAGCCTGGGCAACAGAGTGAGACCCCATCTCTACAAAAAATAGAAAAAATTAGCTGGTGTGGTGGCATGTGCCTGTAGTCTCAGCTACGTGGGAGGTTGAGGTGCGAGGATCACTTGAGCCCAGGAGGTTGAGGCTGCAGTGAGTCTTGATGGCACCACTGCATTCCAGCCTGGGTGACAGAGTGAGAACGTCTCAAAAACAAAAACAAAAAAGTAGGATGGCTAAATTGTGCCATATTCAAATAAAGCATCACTACACAGCATGAAAAAACTCAACTTTTTTTTTTTTTTTGAGACAGAGTCTTATTACGTCACCTAGGCTGGAGTGCAGTGGCGTGATCTCAGCTCACTCGCAACCTCTGCCTCCTGGGTTCAAGCGATTCTCCTGCCTCAGCCTCCGAGCAGCTGGGATTACAGGCATGCGCCACCACCATGACCGGTTAATTTTTGTATTTTTAGTAGAGACAGGATTTTACCATGTTGGCTAGGCTGGTCTCGACCTCCTGACTTCAAGTGATGTGCCCACCTTGGCCTCCCAAAGTGCTGGGATTACAGGCATGAGCCGCTGTGCCTGGCTGAAAAAAAAACTGAACTTCTGAGACATACAGTAACGTGGGTGAATTCCACAAACTAATATTGTGTAAAATGTATGATTCCATTTTCATAAAGCTCAAGAGCAAGCAAAACTAATCTACAATGATAGAGGTCAAAATAGTGGTTACTTCTGGGGGACACTGACTAGGAGGGGAAAAGAGGGAATGTTTTGGGGACCTGGCAATGTTCTGTATCTTGATATGGAGGGTGACTGCCCTAATGTATACATATAAGTGAGGACTCATCAAATTGAAGCCTAAAATTGGTGCACATTACTGAATGTGTGGTGTACCTAAAAAAGTTCGGGAAAAAAAGGAAGCAGTTAAACAATTTCTGGGTATGGTGCACAGTTGTTTTTGCCCCCTCTTCCCCCTGTATCCATCCCCCTCAATCTGGAAAGAGCCCTACAACTTTCTTCTTTTGGGGCTGCGTCACTCCCTCTCTCAATACGTTTTAGGTGGAGGTGACTCAGCTTTAGGCACATGACCCAGGCCCCAAATCAGAGTGCCTTTTCCCCTAGCCACAGGGATTAATTCAGGGATGAGAACAGGACTAAAGCAGTGGAGGCAATCCCAGATATTCTGTTGGAACTAGTGGAGAAAGGTGTTCTTTCCACTGTTGTTACTAACGTATCAGGATAGAAGCCTGGGGCCGCTGGTGGCCACCTTGGCACCCCTGAGAGAGGGCACACAGAGGACAGCAGAAGGACAGAAAATTCTTCCTGATGAGACCAGCTCCGAGTATGGGTCCAGCTATCACTGTATGTGGATTTTTCATTAAGTGAATCAATACATTCACTTTTTTAGCTAATCGCTTTGGTTTGGCTTTCTTTTTTTTTTGAGATGGAGTCTTGCTCTGTCGCCCAGGCTGGAGTGCAGTGGCGTGATCTCGGCTCACTGCAAGCTCTGCCTCCTGGGTTCATGCCATTCTCCCACCTCAGCCTCCCGAGTAGCTGGGACTATAGGCATCCGCCACCATGCCCGGCTAATTTTTCTGCATTTTTAGTAGAGACAGGATTTCACCGTGTTAGCCAGGATGGTCTCGATCGCCTGACCTTGTGATCTGCCCGCCTTGGCCTCCTAAAGTGCTGGGATTACAGGCGTGAGCCACCGCGCCTGGCCTGATTTGGGTTTCCAACAGTTTAATAATTAGAATCTAATACACTGGGAATGGACAAAATTATGAGAAAAATGGAGGGACTTGGAATATAAACATTGAGTCTTATCTCATCTGTTTTGTGGGTACTGCCCCTTCCCCGAGTGACTGCTCACCCTGTGAGACCATGGCACTGGTAGGAGATGGGTGAGGCAGGCTGCAGGGGCCATGTGGGGAGACTCTGGTCCTTACTTGTAAAGGGTTCCAGAGCAAGTCTAGAGAACTGGATTCTACTCTCCATTTTGTCGCTTCTTAGAGGCAAGACCTTGGGCAAATCATGACACCTCTTTCAGCCTTGTTCCTTCTCTCCATGGTTTTTATTTTATTTTTTATTTTTTGTAGAGATGGGATTTCACCATGTTAGCCAGAATGGTCTTGAACTCCTGGCTCAAGTGATCCACCCGCCTCGGCCTCCCAAAGTGCTGGGATTACAGGTGTGAGCCACCCTGCCTGGCCTCCTTCTCTATATGGAATATCAACTCTTAGCTCAAAGGTTGTTACGCAGATCAAATGCTAGCTTCCCAACCTCTCCAGCTTTTTCATACCCTTGACTGAGTCAGCTTCTCATCCTGGGCTTTCTTATCATTGTCATCATGATCTTTGACCGTGTGTGAACCCCCAAGGGCAAGATAGTGTTAATCTCTAGGTCCCCTTACCAACAGGGCTGGCCACACAGCGGCAGGGACTACAAAGTGGTCTTGCAGGCCGGAGGCTCACGGTATGATAGCCCACTGACCCCCTGCCCTTCATTTCCTTGCTTGGTAGCTGGGGCTGAATCCGACATACTAGGTGGCTTAGAAGGACCCTGGTGAATTGCTGGAGCAGTCTGATCTTGGGAAGCTGAGAACCTTCCCTGGGGTTGTGTAGAGCCTGTCACAGCAGACCAGGAGCAGGGGCTGAGTGCTGCTGAATGGGAGCTGAGGCTGCCTGGGCCCCTTCCTCAAACCTGGCTGTCTACAGTAAAGGATGGACAAAGAGCTCTTGAGGCCATAACACCCCTTTCTTTTTTTAAATTTTAAAAATTATTATTTTTTAGAGACAGGGTCTTTCTTGCTCTGTTGTCCAGACTGGAGTACGGTGGCATAATCATAGCTCACTGCTGCCTTGAACTCATGGTTAAAGCGATCCTCCTGCCTCACCCTTCCAGGTAGCTAGGACTACAGGCATGCACCACCACACCCGGCTATCTTCTTTTAAAATTTATTATTTATTTTTTTGGAGACAGGAGTCCTGCTCTGTCACCTAGGCTGGAGTGCAGTGGCACGATCTCGGCTCACTGCAACCCTCCGCCTCCCGCGTTCAAGCAATTCTCCTGCCTCAGCCTCCCGAGTAGCTGGGACTACAGATGCATGCCACCATGCCCAGCTGAGTTTTGCATTTTTTATAGAGACAGAGTTTTGCCATGTTGGCCAGGCTGGTCTCGAACTCCTGACCTCAGGTTATCTACCTGCCTTGGCCTCCCAAAGTGCCTGGATTACAGGCATGAGCCATGGCACCTGGCCTTAACATTTATTTTTATACTTTCTTTTTTTTTTTTTGGAGATAGAGTCTTCTTATGTTACCCTGGCTAGAGTGCAGTGGTTATTCACAGGCATGATCATAGCATACTACAGGCTGGACCTCCTGGGTTTGAATGGTCTTTCTGCCTTGGCCTCCTGTGCAGCTGGGACTATAGGTGCATGCCACCACAGCTGGCCGTAACACTCCTCAGCTCATTTTTGAGTTATGGAAAATGCTGTTTCAAGAATCACCAGGCCTATGATAAGTCCCATGGAACAAACCTATCACTGTGTAAGAGCTGAGCAGGAAAAAACCATCTCTCCTCATACACCTCATTCATTCATTCAGTAAAACTTCATGACACACCACTATGGACATCAGGAAGTAGAGATGAATAAGGCTGGGTCTCTGCCCTAAGTGATTGGCCTGGAAAGCCATACTGGACACAGTTTCCATACTGGCCACCTTGTCTCTTTTCCTGCCCCTCCCTGCATTCCTTTACACAACAGCCAGAATTCTCTCAAACATAAAGCAGATCCCCAGCTTAAACCCTTTAAAGACCTTCACAAGGCCCTATGTGACAGGAGAAGCAGGAGAAGGTGGATGAGAAGATGAGGCTGTATTGAGTTCAGAGCACCTGAACTCAAGGGAGACTTTCACAGGGTGCTTGACTCTGTCCCAACTCCTAAAATGACTACTGGGGACTACTGAGGTCTGAATGGGGCGGGGGTGAGGGGTCAAGACGGACATACTAGATCCAGTGGCAATATGGCTCAAAACCCTAGGTCTGTTAAGTTGCAGTCTGGCTCATGGGGGAAATTCTTTATTTGGATGCTTCAGTGACCAAGAGACAGAGCATTAGACACACACATAAGCACACACATACACACAAACACACACACACACACATCCATACAATATGCAAAGCAAAGGCATTTCACAGGTGAAGGGATAGGGAGTGGGGAAAGGAGGCCACGAGAGCAGCTAGGGGCTTCTCTGACAAAATGAGGAGAAGCCTCTGATGGTGACACTCCTTGGAATTCTTGCCTCAAAGCTACAAGGAAAACTGTATCCCTGTGGACTCAGTCCCAGGCCACAAAACAGTAAAGACAGAGAAATCTGGGTGTGGGGCCTGGGGGACACCTGCTCCTCACTGTAGAAACCTGCATCAGCTCTCTATTTCTTTCCCTGGGACCCAGAAATTGCCTGGTGGATGATGGGGAAGGCTAGCACCACAGCAACCTGGGCAAGGTGGTCTGCTGCACAAGGGGGAAGAGAGGACGAGTAGGGCCAAGGGTAGCAATGAACCTCACAGCCGGCTGGCATGAGGCAGTTTGCCTTTAGGGGCAGAACCCTCAGGGAGACTTGCATGTGGGGCACTTTCCCATGTGACCTTGGGTCAGAGCACCTCTGATGGAGGAGGGGAAAGGTCCCATCCCCACTGGAGAGTCCTATAATCCCAGTGGACATGGGGGCCGCCCCCAGCCCCAGCTCGTTGCTAACTGCTGCAGATCCTTAGCACCATTCAGGAACCGTGGAGAGGGCAGCGGGGGGAGCAATGCTCCGCCAAGACTCTGTCACCGCTCCAGGAGGAGACTTCACAGTTGGCAGAAACCTGCGCAACTGGCCATATCTGGTCTAAGGCTCAGGAAAGCCTGCACCTTTTGGGGGAAGGCAGAGTGTTGTATTAGCTCCAAGCTTCCATGTTGCAGCCATTTCCTCTGTTTCCTGCCTCAGCCCAGGTTTGACATGAAAGTTCCAGGTTTCACTGGAAATGTCTAGGGTCCAGGGAGATCTCTGTTCTTTAGTTGCAGGAACTGGCCCAAAACTGACCTTTAGAGGAAAGACAAGTGGCTGGGGCCTCAGCACCTATGGCCCAGAGGGGCTGGGGAAGGGGGAAAGCCACCCTCCAAACTGCCACCTGGTGAGACCCCAGGTCTCTCGATACCCTTGCCTCCCCTGTCATGGCCTACAGGACCCCTGCCAAAGGGGAGCAGCAGGAGTGAATCAGCCTGGACCAATCAGAGGCTGTCTGTGGCCCAATGCTGCCTCAGGCCTGTGTACTTTCCTGGTGAGAACAAGGAGTGAGAGGGAGCCAAGGGCTGAGCAGTCACGGGAAGCTGGCTCACGGCTGGCCCAACATGGGATGCTGGGCAGAATCACCTCTAGTCTTCCAAGGTGGTTGAATCTTTCTGAATGGGCTGCCTTTGCATTGGAATCTGGCCCAGGGATGATGCCACTGTTTTTGGTGACCTGTATTTGAGAAGGAACAAAGGAACAGGGTCAGTGTGTGGCAGCTGTATTGGCTTATTGCAACGATAGCACTGCCCTGTTAGGGCCTTGGAGTAATAGGCAGGGCACCTTTCCTTCACTGAGGTCCACTGTGGGCTGGCAGAATGCTGGATGCTTAGCTTCCATCATTCCATCCTCATGGCAATTCTAGCAAGGTGAGAAGCAGCATCCTCATTTTACATACAAGGAAAGTAAAGTTCAGAAAGTTTAAGTGGCTGGCCCATAGTATGTTTTCTTTTTTTTTTTTTTTTTTTTTTCCTGAGATGAAGTCTCGCTCTTGTCGCCCAGACAGGAGTGCAGTGGCGTGATCTCTGCTCACTACAACGTCTGCCTCCCAGGTTCAAGCGATTCTCGTTACTCAGCCTCCCAAGTAGCTGGGATTACAGGTGCCCGCGACCACGCCCGGCTGATACCTGTACTTTTAGTAGAGACAAGGTTTCTCCAGGTTGGCCAGGCTGGTCTCCAACTCCCTACCTCAGGTGATCCACCCGCCTCGGCCTCCCAAAGTGCTGGGATTACAGGCGTGAGCCCCGGCCACAAAGTATGTTTTTAAGTGGTAGGTTCAGGACTGTAGCCAATGCCTTTTCACTATACCAAACCACTGCCTACAGGGCCCTATACAAACTCATTCCATTTGGTAGTGGCAGAGTAAAAATGAATGGGCTTCAAAGTCAAACAGGCTTGAATCCTAGGTCTAACTCCAAGTAACTAAGTGAACTTGGGCAAGTCAATTAACCTATCTGATAATTAGGCTTTCTTTGGTTGTAAAAGGCAGGGGTGGGGGGATATCCTAATTTCATATCTTTTGTTGAGAATTTAATGAGACTGAAATCAGGTGTTCAACAAATTATAGCTTTATCCTTACAGAATTAGAGGCTTTTTAAAAATTTTGAGACAGGATCTCACTCAGGCACCCAGGCTGGAGTACAGTGGTGCCATCATAGCTCACTGCAACTCAAAGCACACTCCACCTCCTGGGCTCAAGCTATTCTCTCACTTCAGCCTCTCAAGTCGTTGGGACTACAGGTGTGCATCGCCACACCTGGCTAACTTTATTTTTTGTAGTTGGGGTCTTACTACATTGTCCATATTGGGAGAATTAGAGACTTACTGACTTGCCCAAGGTCACAATGCTGGAAAGTTTAGCAAGAGAACAGTGAACAACACTAGCACTTTCAGGTCTGGGTAGCCCCATGGCGCGGCTCTGGTTGGCTTCAGGTTGTCTGTTGCAACTGCCATCATCCAAGCTGCAAGGGAGGTATGTATGCTGAAACACTGTGGGACTGAGTTGCTGGGGCTTGTCTCAAGTCTATACCTAAGAGTACCCCCAAAGTAAAAAACATATCCACAGGTAAAGAGGATGATCTGCTACAGTATGAGAGAGGAGACTCCAGGCAGAGTAGAGAGAACTAAGGACATTTTTCACACCAATACTCTGTGTTTCCACCACCTTTAAATCATTCAGCTCAATGAGCAAAGCAAAATCAATGACCAAAGTCAAACAAACATTTCAGCAGCTTGCCCGCCTGACACTCAGTTTCCTTGTCCGTAAAACGGGAATTCTGCTACCCATCTCAGAAGGTTATGCTGGGGCCAGGTGCAGTGGTTCACACCTGTAATCCCAACACTTTGGGAGGCCGAGGCAGGCGGATCACTTGAGCTCAGGAGTTTGAGACCAGCCTGGCCAACGTGGTGAAACCCCATCTCTACTAAAAAAAAAAAAAAAAAAAAAAAAGGTTATGTTGTGGCACACTGCTCATACCACACATTTCCCTTCAGAGAGGAAGGGACAGAACCACGTAGGCCCTCCAGACCAGGCCCTATCCTCTTCATATCAACGGTGCCATAACCTACTTCTGAGCCTGACGCCTTGGGAGGAGCATGCTGTGGGCCAGATAGGCTTCAATTTGAATCATGACCATGCTTCATTCACATCACCACTTTGAATGCTGGTTGTCTATATGTGTAAAATGGGAATAATTATCTTTCCTCTCAGGACTGGAAGGATTACCTGAGAAAATATGCTTGACATATGGCCTGCAACAGAAGAGGGGCTCAAGGAATGTTAGTCACTTCCAAGATTACCATGAACAGGTAACTCTCCGTTCACCTGGTTCCTTCAAAACCCTTATCACAATCTGTGATTATTGGTTGTTTACTTGCTTAGTCTGTTTCCTTTCACCAGGCTGTAAGGTCATGAGAGCAGAGGCTGGGTCTGTCTTGGCCACCATTCAGAAGATGCTCAATATATATTTGATTAATGAATGAGAGAGCCTGGTCATATTTGATAAAGACCTATAGAGGGAACTCCTGCCAGCAAAGGATAGGGTCTCCAGGCCAGTGGAAAAACACTTCCCCAGAGTGCTACAGACCAGGAAAGCCAGGTGTTCTTAGGGTTCCACCAAGAAAATCATGTATGCTTCTCTATTAAAACCTTCAGCCCAACAGGTCCAAAGACTGGGCAGAAGCTGGTAGAGAAACACATATAGAGGAGACACTTGTTCCTGTTAAATGATTTATCTTCTGTTCACTGAAAAAAGGCTGCCAGGATTCCATTTCGGCCCAGAACTACCTGGCTTTGTTCTGACGCAGAAGTCCCGGGCTCCTGCTATGGATCCTAGAATTTCAAAAAATGGTTACTTACTGGTTCTTGTGTTTGAAGCCGCTGACATGAGCTTGGTACTGTTCTATGGAGTTCAGCACTATCTTACATGTTTTGCAGGGGTAGCCCTTTCCAGCTGAAACACATCAAAATCAAGATCTTAGTTATCCAGTAAGAAGTAACCTGAAGACTGTTGCTTTTCAGAGTGTACAAATGCCCTTCTAAGGACTGACAGGTGAGGCGAGGTGAGGTTGCTGGCCCTGGTGAGAACCCAGAGGCCACAGTGCTCAGGAGGCACAGACTGCGTGCCTGTGTGCTTCCTGGGGTTGGGAACATCCTCATTCCTGTGTCCCCCGTCCCAGCATAGAGCCTGGCCCAGACTAGCTGAGTGATAAAAGAATGACAGAACAAAGAAGTGACATTTGGTGTCTTTTCTACCTTGACTGTGCTAACTGGCCTCATTAAGGATGCCCTTCACTGAGAGATCTCTGGGAAGGTGCCACTCTCCTAGGGCTCGCAGTAACAGTAATTAATGAGAACGCTGGTTATGAAAATCAATCTGTCTTTCTACCCTGGGAATCACAGACCGTATCTCACTTTACCAGGGTTGCTCCAATGACAAAGTGGCTCTTCCCACATGGTCTAGTAGTGAGTGAGGAGCCAGGAGAGGGAACTGAACTGCTGGTTCTGCTTTCATGTGACCTTAGCTAGATTCCTTCCTTTCTGAGCTTTTTCTTTTTTTTTTTTTTGAGCTCTGTGGCCAGGCTGGAGTGCAGTGGCACGATCTCGGCTCACTGCAACCTCTGCCTCCCGGGTTCAAGGGATTCTCCTGCCTCAGCCTCCTGAGTAGCTGGGACTACAGGCGTGTGCCACCATGCCCAGCTAATTTTTGTATTTTTGGTAGAGACGGGGTTTTATCATGTCGGCCAGGATGGTCTCGCTCTCTTGACCTCACAATCCACCCGCCTCGGCCTCCCAAAATGCTGGGATTATAGGTGTGAGCCACTGTGCCCGGCATGATCCTTAGCTTTTCTTAACCTCAAACCAATTATACCACAACTTATTTTTTTGAGACAGAGTCTCATTCTGTCGCCCAGGCTGGAGTGCAGTGACACCATCTCTCGGCTCACTGCAAGCTCCGCCTCCCGGGTTTACGCCATTCTCCTGCCTCAGCCTCCTGAGTAGCTGGGACTACAGGCGCCCGCCACCACGCCCGGCTAATTTTTTGTATTTTTAGTAGAGACGGGGTTTCACCGTGTTAGCCAGGATGGTCTCGATCTCCTGACCTCATGATCTGCCTGCCTCGGCCTCCCAAAGTGCTGGGATTACAGGAGTGAGCCACTGCACCCGGCCCACAACTTATTTATTTAGAGATGGAGTTTTGCTCTTGTTCCCAGGCTGGAGTGCAATGGCATGATCTCCACTCCCTGCAACCTCTGCCTCCAGGGTTCAAGCGATTCTCCTCCCAAGTAGCTGGGGCTACAGGTGTGTGCCACCATGCCTGGTTAATTTTTGTATTTTTAGTAGAGACAGGGTTTCACCTTGTTGGCCAGGCTGGTTTCAAACTCCTGACCACAGATGATCTGCTTGCCTTGGTCTCCTCCCAAAGTGCTGGGATTGGGATTATAGGCGTTGAGCCACCGTGCCCAGCCCCACAACTTATTTTTGATTTTTTTGACACAGAGTCTCATCCTATCGCCCAGGCTGGAGTGCAGTGGAGGCACCTCTGTCTCCTGGGTTCAAGCGATTCTCCTGCCTCAGCCTCCTGAGTAGCTGGGATTATAGGCGTGCACCACCATGCCCAGGTAATTTTTGTATTTTTAGTAGAGACGGGGTTTCACCATGTTGGCCAGGCTGGTCTTGAACTCCTGTCCTCGTGATCCACCCACCTCGACCTCCCAAAGTGCTGGGATTACAGGCGTGAGCCACCGTGCCCGGCCACACCTGGGTAATTTTTGTATTTTCTTTTTTTTGTAGAGGTGGGGTTTTGCCATGTTGCCCAGGCTCCAAACCTCTTCACATTGGAACCAGGATGATCTGCCCATAAAACTCAAACTGGCAACGGCTTCCCAGGGCTCTTAGGGTAAAGGCCCACCTCCCTAACATGACCCACAAAGTCATGCGTGGACACCTGCTCATTTCCTCCACATCACTATGTCCCACACTATCCTACTTGCCCTCTGGGGGGCCTTTCTTGATCCCTGTCCCCCATCTTATCTCCCCTCATTTTATGCCCACAGTCTTGCATTTGTCTTTTTTTCTAAAGTTTGTCACAGTTGTAACTATTTGCTCAATGCCTGTATTCTCTGCTAGACTGTAAGCTCCATAAGGACATAGACAATACCTGTCTTGTTTACTACATATATACCACCATGCCTGGTACATATTAGGTAAAAGTCCAATAAATACTTATTGACTATCTATGAATTTAGTAAGACTTGAAAACTTGTATATAAAAGCTGAAGAAACTGGGGGACCAACATGGGGCTCAGAAACCAGCTCTACTGAGTGGGAGACAAGACCCTAATTAGGGAGAGTAAGTGATGGGGTGAAGCAGAGAAGGATTTCAGTAACCTGGAGGGGACATTCAATGCTCTGGGGGCAAGAAGGATTTGCCTGAATGCTATGTAGGTTTTAGTTCTGGCCTTCTCTGGTAAATATGAGAGAAACGCAAGGCTGGAGTATAAAACCACTCTAAGCCTCATTTGATCTGCTTGGTAGATGATGCATTTGCCCCGGTGGGATTTGGATACCCTAGGTCATTTTACAGTAGATCCATACTTGCCATGAGACACTTGTCAGGGACCCTCAGGAACTAGTCTCTGGATCCAACACAGAACTACACTGGGTTTCAATGTGGGCTCAGGCTCTGCCACTCTTTAGTGCGGAACCCTGGGCAAATCACTTCATCTTTCTGGTTTTAATATCCTCATCTGTAAAATGGTGATAATCAAAGTTGTTCAACAGAGTTATTGTCAGGATTATATCAGGTAATGAAATGTGAGAGCACCGAGCCCAAGCCCTGGGCCATAGCTCCCATCAGTAAGTGTTAGATGACTTGACTAAATGAATGAACTAAATGAATGAGTGGCTTTGAACGAAGCCAGCAGGGAGAAGTCAAGCTGTTAACAAACCTAGATAGGCCGGGCTCATGCCTGTAATCCCAGCACTTTGGGAGGGCGAGGTGGGTGGATCACTTGAGGCCAGGAGTTCCAGACCAGCCTAGCCAATATGGTGGAACCATCTCTACAAAAACAGAAACACCTGAATTCTTTGCTAAGGTAGAATCCTTGTCAGTTGAAGTCACTGCCTGCATATTCTAGGTCAACAGCCTACCTCTGTAAGTAAGAAGGGGGATAGAGTGGGGCTCAGTGCCTCTGCCAGACATTCTATACTTGGAAAGCCTCCTGCCAAGTATGCTCAGAGTTGGAGGCAGGTGGAAGGAGTGTAAGGTTTGGGGCCACACAGAGCTAAAGACCCAAAGTGATATCAACATTTATTAATATCAAGGTCCTATCAGCTGTATGAGCTGCAACCATTCACTCTGGGTCTCAACCTCTTTGTGAAGTGGTCGAAATTATATCTATTTATAGGAATGTGTGGAAATTAAAATTATAATGTATATATTCCTATCAAAAGGGGATCTAATACCCCTGCCTCTCTGCCTATTTTTTTTTTTTTAAATAAAAAAGTATCAATTTTCTTCAAATCCAAGTCCTCTTGAAAATCTATGATCTCAGGCTGGGCACGGTGACTCACACCTATAATCCCAGCACTTTGGAAGGCCGAGGCGGCTACATCACCTGAGGTCACGAGTCTGAGATCAGCATGGCTGACATGGTGAAACCCCGTCTCTACTAAAAATACAAAATTAGCCGGCTGTGGTGGCGCATGCCTGTAATCCCAGCTACTCGGGAGGCTGAGGCAGGAGAATTGCTTGAACCCAGGAGGCGGAGGCTGCAGTAAGACGAGATCATGCCATTGCACTCCAGTCTGGGCAACAAGAGCAAAATTCTGTCTCAAAAAACACAACAACAAAAAACAACTGATTTTTCTTTTTATTTTTTTGAGACAGGGTCTCACCCCGTTGCCCAGACTGGAGTGCAGCGGCACAATCTTGGCTCACCACAACCTCCGCCTCCCAGGCTCAAGCAATTCTCCTGCCTCAGCATCCTGAGAAGCTGGGATTACAGGTGCACGCCAACACGCCCAGTTAATGTTTTTGCATTTTTAGTAGACACAGGGTTTTGCCATGTTGACCAGGCTGGTGTTCAACTCCTGACCTCAAATGATCCACCCAACTCGGCCTCCCAAAGTGCTGGGATTATAGGTGTGAGTCACTGTGCCCGGCCAAGAACACGGGATTTTAAAGTCATGTTATTTGGCTTGATTGCCACCTGCATCTCTAATTGATAATATACAACTTAGTTTTAGAGTCTTTATTTGTTCTCCATAAGGACCAAAAAAAGAGAAAAAACAAAACTTAAAGAGACACAGGTCTTTTTTTTTTTTTTTTTTTTGAGATAGAGTTTCACTCTTGTCACCCAGGGTGGAGTGCAATGGCGCGATCTCGGCTCATTGCAACCTCTGCCTCCCAGGTTCAAGTGATTCTCCTGCTGGGATTACAGGCGCCTGCCACCACACCCGGCTCATTTTTTGTATTTTTAGTGGAGACGGGGTTTCACCAGGTTGGCCAGGCTGGTCTCTAACTCCTGACCTCAGGTGATCCACCCGCCTCGGCCTCCCAAAGTGCTGGGATTACAGGTGTGAGCCACCACACCCAGCCACAGACTGAAGTCTTTCTATAATACGTTCCTCTATGTATTTAAGAACTTGAAATAACTAGCATAAAATGAATATTCCATTCAATAATAATTTTTTATTTATTTTATTATACTTTAAGTTCTAGGGTACATGTGCACAACGTGCAGGTTTGTTACATATGTATACATGTGCCATGTTGGTGTGCTGCACTTATTAACTCGTCATTTACATTAAGTATATCTCCTAATGCTATCCCTCCTCCCTCCCCCCACCCCACGACAGGTCCCAGTGTGTGATGTACCCCACCCTGTGTCCAAGTGTTTTCATTGTTCAATTCCCACCTATGAGTGAGAACATGCGGTATCTGGTTTT